CCTTCAGCTTCAAAAATTGGAAGTCTCTGTATTTCAGTTTCTGAAACGTGATCTTCCCAGAAACGCATTTTCCCAAAAAGAGAATTAAGGCAGGCAAGCGTTTCAGGTATTCTTCTTCAATAATCTCTCACGAAAAACTACCATTTTCTGTCATCAACTCCAGCAACTCCAGACTTACTGTGGCCAGTAAGCCGCAAGGATAAATTCATATTAAATTCTGAAAAAATGAAATGGACATGAAAAAGGAAAAATACCCATCGAAAACAACATGAGAAGGCCCTCAGCACCATACAAGGGTTATGTGACAGATTGTGATTTACAGTGAGTGTGCTGGTAAAAGGTCTCTGCATGTAGATTATATAAAGTACAATAGGCCATGCAAAATGAGTAGGGATTTTTTACATAAGAATTGGAGGGACCTAAAAAAGAAAAATCTGGCACATTTATATTTGCCTAAGTTTGTGTTTCCTTGAAGAGTTGGATTCTGTCTCTCTGGCTTATTACCTACATGTTGCTACAATGCATAACATTTTAATTATGTGGTCCCTTTGCCAGCATTACAAGTCTGGCTTCATTCAAAAGGTTTTTACCTTTGAATTGTTGGTGTTCAGCATCGTCACATCCACTAGATGTCACTCAATAGTCATAATTTGCAGCATTGACATAAACACACACAAAAAAGAGGGCAACAAATTTTTTCTCCAGACTCAGAATAACGTTCTTTTAAAAAAATGTTGTGGTCACTGTTTAAAATCGCGTTGTCTGAAAGATTTTCATCATCTCTTCAAAAATGATAACTTTAAGCTGATGCCATCAGAAGCCCTGGTTGCCATCTGAAAGTTGTGTATTCCTTTAATAAATATGCTTCTTCTTGGAGTGTGATGGGCTTGATGCTAATGGATAATTGTGCCTTTGGACCATGAACACACTGATCAACGTTTTGGTCTGCATAATGCCTAATGACATTGATCTTCAGTGCTGTTGTTCTCTAGGTTATATGTTCATGTCCTGTGGGGTTTTACCCTTAACAGTTGTATTGAATCACATCCCCCAAAAACATCCATTTACCTTAAGCTGCTTGCAATGGTGTGTTTCTACCTGCATATTCTCTAGCTCCCAGTTCCAGGCATTTGTTCTCATATGCCTTTCAGGACTGAGATCACATCACAGTGCACTTGACAGTTCTTGAGAAACGAAACAAAGAAATTGCTCTCTAGCCTTCAAAGATTTTATTGTCTTTTTCCATGCTCCCTCTGGCTTCCAAACAGCCTTTTCAAAATATAGATACTAAAACTGCTCCCAGTATTGTAGCACCAAAACCACTACATATGGGGAGAAAACAGCTTCACACCCTTCACCTGCTTATTACTGTTTTATATCATTTTCTCTCAGAAAGAGGCTTATAACTTTGTTATGATGTATTTGGTTCTTATTTCAGGGCTACCTCACTGCCCTACCTTTTACTAGATTTGTATTTTCCCTGATGTTGCTGGTGTCCCTCATGAATTCCTATGTTCAGTATATATTGACAGTTCATTTATTCCCCCAGAGCCCAAAGGAATACTCTCTATCTGAGGAAGCCATAAAACTTTATCATCTCTTGCCCTAATCACTAGCAACAGTGACATTTTCAAACATGCACTGCAAAGACAGGCAACAAATTCTGCTCAAGCTGGATATTCCAACCCCAAAGATCAGAGCAAGGAATGCTAAAAGTGTTTATTTACTATTCTATGCAAATTTCTCCTGACATGCAAATTAAACTCGCTGTGTAATTTGCATAACGAACCTTTGTGAAAGGCCACAGCCAGGTGGGCTCCCCTGTACCAGGATGCTTCAAACATACAATGAATGATACTTTTGGACCAACTCATGTTAAATTCTTGCATTGATGTAGGGTTCCAAGAGCTTCCTTAATCACATGGCAAACAATCATAGAATAATAATTTTCGTAACTGATTATTGCAAGGGCAGGACAAAAAAAAAAAACAAAAAGAAGAAAAGAAAACATATGGATGGTACAGAACTAAATACTTTTTTTTCCAGCCTCTGTTATTCCCTTTCTCTTCTGTCACCAGAGTTTTAACACACAAAGCATGCTGTTTGGCAAATCTATCAGAGGGTGCTAACAAGGGAAATAACTAACGAGCCTTTTGATGGCAAAGAAAAACAGATGCTGAAGTGAGCTGGAATTCTTGTTTCTAGTGCTGTTTCTGGTGAACCTTGATTTTCTTTCCTCGAGACAAAGCAAGTTTGAAAGGGGCAGAAAGTAAAAAGAACTGTGGAGATGAAAAAAAACGCAGCTCAGTTTCCGAGGCCGTCTCTCACTTGCTATCAAAGAGTGGTGAGTTCCCAGCACTAGGCCTTACCTCTTGTGAGTAGGTCTGACACACCTCCACAAATCAGGATATTTTGCTTGGGAAAAGCAAACCAGTCCCAGCTACCAAAGCCGAACTCTTGAACAAGAGCAAAAGGAGAGGAAGAGAAGGGAAGAAATACACAACACACTGGGAAACAGGGGAAAAACAAAAGAGAGGGGGCAGGTGGGGACAAAAAAAAGTGAGATCAGGACTTCGGGTCTCATAGTCTGGCACTGACTAGAATTTTGTTGAAGTCAGTTGATATGGTTTGAAGCTGGCTCCCTACCAAGTCTCCAAACCTTACCACCAGAAGTTCCCCCCACCCCCCCAAACCTCAGGGAGAAGAGGGAGAAAAACAACCAACTAAGAAAACCCGAAACGAGAGAGACAGCTAAAGTGATATATATAAATATATTTACACTTATGTTACAATTGAAATATATACAATTTAAAATATATACAATTTCACAAGGGAAGGGGAAGGGGGAAGGGAAAAGGGAACAAAACCAAAATAATAAACATATATATATATATATCTCCCAATCAGTAGCCCGAGATCTAGTAACTAAAGAGTTAGCACAGAAAATATCCCACCACTCTCCTTGGGACAACCGAGAGTTGCTCCGGGACGATCACCGGCAACCTCCGTCTCCCAAGGTCGACAAGGCCTCACCAGGCCTCGCTCCCCAACAGGACAGACTCAACAGCAGGGAACCTGCACCTCCAAGCCGCCGGAAGGAAAGAGAGTGAAGGCCTCTCCTCCTTTCTTCTTATAATCTGGCTTACGTAAAAATCGTAGGGAATACTGGGTAAATCTGGACCCTTCCTTGGCTACAAACTGGTCACCAAGGAAGGCCTAGCCCAAACCACCACACCGGTGGAGATGGTGGTGACATGGGGGTCCCTTTCAGCTACCCAGTGCAATCAGGACATGGTTCAAGAGAAGGTGCAGTTGTGCTGTACTTTTGATACGAGGGCTTGCTGTCCTCTGGCCCTCTCCAGCAGCACTGCTGCTCTCTGGACATGAGGACGGAACGATGGATTGAATAGCTCAAGCTTTCATTACTCTGGTTACTGTTTAAGTGAATTCTCAGCTCACCAACGTAACTCCATCAACTTTATCCACTACACCAGCTATTTACCCACCTTAATATTACCACATTTGGTCTGCTTGTTTGGACCGGGCTAATTCACATTCATATTTGTGGACTTTGAGCTCTGAAAAAAACTGAAGCATTTTTTTTTACTTTAGAAGGCCTAAAGAAGCAGTACCCAAGGAAATAGGTTTTGAGGCCTCATGATACTACAACTTGAACTGCACATCTTTTTAATCCAAACCATGGGACTGCATTTGCTGTAAGGCAAAATTATTTACTCCTGTGAAATTTGGAATGAAACAGGTGGGAGCTGCAATGTTTCACAGTTTTGTTTAGAGTGAGGCATATTTCATGTTACCTGAAGACTCCAAACAAAACAGAGGTTGCACAAACAAGCACAGAAGTGGTTTCTCCTCCGCAGAGTTATTGTGGTACAGAAGCAGACACACAGTCAAGAAGCACAAGGAAAAACCATTCCAAATTGTCCCAAGTCAATGAGCCATTCAATAGATTTCTGGATTCCAGTTCAATGCTTTATCCATCCCACACTGATAGGAAATGTGTATTGAGGGCAATCTTACTGCTCTTTGAAATAATGGAGATATCTTTTCTGGTAGTTAAGTCAATGCAGACTGTTTTCTGAGCAGCAGTAGATGTGTCAGCTGGCTTACCTGTCTGATGTATTTGATCAGATACACACATTGTCCTATGAAAGATGTAGAACACATCTCAGCATGGCAGAGGGGAAATTACTGCACTTATAAAAACCAGTAAGTATGCACAAGGAAAGAGTAAAAATCAATGACTTGACTTTACTGTAATCCCTTTGTTGCTACTGTGCAAGGTTGGGAAGAACAGTGGATGATGTGAAAGCCAGCGTGTAAAAACAGTTATCAAATGAGTCAAAGTCTGAGATGAAAGGAATAACTGAGTGAAAACTCCTTGCAGTGAAGCAGCTGTTAATTGTGTTCATCAGTCCAGTGAACGTAAAGGGAAATTAAAATAACTCCTGCTCTTGGAAGAATTTTTTTTCTTCCATGGTCATTCATGGTGCCAGTTCCAGGTGCCTGCACTGAAAGGTCCCACTTGTTGCTGGCTCTGAGCCCTTAGTACTGTCATTAAATATTTTGGACCTGCATAAGCTTTTCAACACCTTCTCTGCAGGATTTGTGATAAAAGAAAAAAATCCAGCACCAAGACATAAGCCACCTGTGTCTTGGAAGTAATGTCACACCTTCCCTGAGAAAACAGAGTGCTCCAGGAGCTGAGACCAACACAACTCAGAGAGTCTCTGGGCTGGTGCTGAAGAAAGTAACTTAACCTCTTACTCTTGCCTGTCTCTGTTCAAAGTGGAGACAGTACAAAGAAAGACACGCAGCTGGTTTAAGAAATGTTCAGAGGGAGTGAGTTTTTGTGGTAAACCCCATTCCCCAGATGCTATTATCTTTTTCTTCAAAAAAAATCCCACCATTTCCCCTCAGCAATGTTCCTCTATTGCTGTTTCTGGTGTGTTGTTCCTTTGTAAAGATTTTCTTTCTTTTTTCTATTATTTTTTTTTTATTTCTCTTTAATCTTCCCAGAATAAGGACTTTATAATCTTATAATCAGCACAGATGTGAAAGCACTCAAATTGAGAATAAGAGAAGCTGAAACCAAGTCTTCAGTGATTACTACAAGGCTTCTCTCAAGAGGAGACTCAGCTACCACCACCTGGGGACCCTGAAAAGAAAACAGAGACACCTGAATTCAACCAGGATGTTCCCTGTCCAAGCTATGAGACCCATACACCCCAAATCTCCTGACCAGGTGACAACACCAGGCACACAACACAGGGCAAGCTGTTCACAGGTAGCCCACAAACTGTCCAAGGACACCAAAGGGAGAAGGCACTGCACAAAGCAATTGCAGATGCAGTTTCTCAGGACTCCTTCCTCCCCATCTCCCACCCCCTTTGGAGCCATGTGGCACAACAGCACTGTGTGAAGTATTTGACAATGAAAAAGGTATCTCAGACCAGAGAGAGAGAGACCTTAAACTGGGCTTAGCTTAGGTAGCTATTTCTAATCTTAAAGGCCATATGAGCAAAGTGTCAAATTTTCTTTTGTTTTTGCTGAAGACAGAGAGAAAAACATGAATCACAAGACTCGAACATGTAACTTTTTAAAAGCTTTAAGAGGAAGGAAGTCAGCCACTAAATGAACACCAAACCCTACGATAATTACATGAAGGGGACTGGAGTAGTATGAAAATGTGAACTGCCTTCTTGAGAGCTGCAACACTGATTATACAGGAGATGCTGTTAGAAGGACTAATGTGTTAAAGGTTAGTCTTCCTTTTGAATAGCAGCAGGTTGCTGGGTACAAAGACAAAGGAGCTTTTAAGGGGCACTCTGGAACTCTTACAGGGCTGAGCTTTGCTCAAGAGCAACAGGGATTCATGCAACAGGGAGTCCTCCAGGCTAACAAAAGTATTCAAATGACAGTTTTAAAGTTTAGACTTGCAGATGGTTTCATTAGTTGCTCAGGGAGCAAGGTACACAGTAGATGCTAAAAGGCTATCTGTACTAGAACTGCAAAAGAAAATCTCTTGATCCTTCTTTTGGTTGGGCAAATGTGCATCTTTTCCATACTCTGCATCTCTGCAGCAATAAGTGGAAAGGGTAATTAAGTAGTAGTTAGGAATCTGCTGAGTGTTGCATGTCCTTAATGTGCTTTAAGGAAATTCTAGCATTACAGATGCATGGCATTCCTATTACTTGATAATTGCATTTTAAAGTTTGGCATTTTAATTACGCTAATATGCATGGGGTTATATTTTAAATTTAGTACCTTATTTTATGGACCAAGTGCTGTAAGTTCTTGCCCCTGAAGTAGTAAGATGTCATGGAAATCTGCACTGTAACATCCTGTCACTTTATCCTTATAGTCTAATTAAATGCTGACATCGTTTAAATGAGTTAAATTGAGTATATTGGGTTTGTGTGTGTCTTGCCAATTCAAAGCAAATTTAAATTAAGAGCCTTTATGAGAGTTTCATACTCCTTCTGGCATGTTGCATTATTATATCGTAATAGATGTAATTTGGAAGATTATATCACTCCTTAATTCATTCTCCCAGTTGTTTAGGAGACAAATTTGGGCTCATCAGTTTGGGTTGAATGTTTTGTTGCCTGTTTTAGCTGTGTAAGTAACCAAGTAACTCTCGCAGAATCACTTTTAAAATTCAAACACAGACAATGCAGGATGCTGGGGGAGGGCTGTGTTTTTAAAATGCACTGGTGATCCAAATACCAATTCAATTCTTGAAACACCTGTCTTAAAGTAACATGTCAACAAGCCTCTTTTCAGAACAGAGGTGCTTCATGTTCTCTAGAGAATCACAGCACTCTTAGTTTTCTCAAATCTGGCAGACAAAATGATGAGCTGTTTTAAAAGCTTAGGCTAAAAAGGAATTATAAGAGAAATTCTTAGAACTGATTATCCTTCTTAAAATGGCTTGCATACACACAGACCCTGGCTCTAGGCTGTACTCTATTATCTATGTGTAAAGTCTGTTCTGTGGCTGAAAAATAAATAGGGACAATCAGTTATGTCCTGTCTATTTTAATTCTGCAATTGCATCAAAACAGGTGGACAAATGAGGATGATTTGGCTACAAGACTGTGGCACCACTCCAGTGAATCAAGAACCTTTAAAGGAGACAGAAAGTGCAAGAGAAGAGGAACTCACCCTTCTGTATCTTTGTAAGAAAAGCAAAATACTATAATTGTTAAGTAGTTTTAATAATACTAAAAAAAAAAAAAAGTGATTAGGCCATCTGGGTAGGAAGTAGTTGAAAGAAATTAAATGGAAGAAATTAAATAGAAGTTGAAGAAATTAAATAGAAAGTGAGGACAGTGAAAACCAGAAAGGACTGTGAATAGAAAAAACACCATTCATCAAACTGATCAAAGAATCAGAATACGAGAAAAAAATACAGTAAAGCTATCCTGAGTGAAAGCAGATTTTGAAGTTTCAGGTGCATTTTTGCTAACTGATCATCAGCTCTCAAGACCACTTAGCATCTGTGTATGAAATTCTGTTAGGTTGATTAAGAGATCCCACTGATGCTTAAAACAGTTTGTATTTATTTACCTGTAACTTTTATCTCTCAATATGTTTACTCTTGCCCCTTTTTCATGGGTAAGGTTAGTGAAAAGAGATAAAACTAAGAGAGTGCACCACGGTGGAGATGGATACAAGGTAAAGATGCAGTCCAGCATAGCCAGGGCTTCCAATCCAACACATATCTTAGAAGGTGTGAAACATAACCAGCAGTCTAAAAACTATGGCTACTGGGGACTGATGTCCTTGGTTTTGGGGGCAGAGGGAGACAGCAAAGGGTAGAAATGCAGAAGACTGCAGAGAGACACCTGACAGCTCTGAGTAAATCAAAGGGGAGATGCTGGTGTGCACACAAATAGGCTGGAAACACCTGCTCCATGAATCAGCTTGAAAGGTTTCACACCTGATAGATTCTATTAAATTCTGTTTGCAATTGCTTGTCCACAAGAGGAGTGTTTAAGCAAATGAAGGCAAATCAGCTGCTGGCATCAAGTCAGTGTCTGCCATTCAGCTATCATCTCTTCATTTCTTATCCTTTTTACTGATCTGACTCATGTCACTGGAATTAGAGGAACTAAGGGGAGAAAAAATAAAATTTACCTCAAAGTATTTGCATTTTTACAAATTTCCCTTTGTATTTACAGCATGTTTGCTGTTCTTCACACTAATCCCCAGTGCCTCCATCATCACTCTCTAAGTAATGTCCTCCTACCATCTCAGCATTTAATAGTGGAGGGGGAGAATGCAGAACCAGGAGTGATTGTGCATCTTCATCACAGGATTTCTCACCAAAAACCTTTAAAGAGGAGACTGAGAACAAGAACATTTAGGACCATAAATTTATATTACTTTTCCTCACCCACAATGAAGAAACTGAAAATAAAAACTAAGATAGTTTTACAGAGACAGTTCTGATCTTTGCCTTTCACCTGCACAGAACAGAGCCACTCACCTCCTGCCTGCTCTCAGTGAGGAGACACCAGCATCTGATTCCCTGAAAGAGCTGACACCTTGCTCCCAGCACAACAAATCAGCCTGGACAGTCAAGAGACACTTTCACTCTGTGGATTTGAAACTAATTAATCCTAGTGACCAGGTTTTACCTGTTAGCCTTTTCCCACTGGGCAGGAACCAGTTCAAACACAGACCAGCCTATGTGCTTGTGAAAAAATACTGCATATACTCTTGCCACTCATACATATTAGGCAGGGACAAAGTGGTACAAATTAAAATGCCCAAGTCACACTTAATTGTAATGTTTCCTGGGTTTTGAGTACTCAGCAAACGTCCTTAACCAATATGTAATGTTAAACACTACAAATGGTGTGCTAAAAACACCTGCATCCTAAATTCCTGGGAGAATGCAGTCTGGACCCCACTGGTGGTTGCCATTTGTGCAGGGGGTCTAAGCTCCCATCCACTTTTTGGGTCACTTTATCCCTGGGGATACAAAGAACATGCCTCTACACATGAATGATGGCAAGAGATGCACTGCTTGCCATGTGGGGCTAGAAAAAAACCTTTCTCTGTTTTCCTTCTCCTCCACAGCCACTCAGGACCGGCTGTACTGTGGCTTTCTGGGGGTCAAGTTGAAATTGCATTCCCTTTCAGACTCCATGAGCAGTGAAAATGTTCCCTGTCTGTGTGTACCAACATTCATGCATCTTGCTTAATGCAGCTATTAAATTAAAAGATCCTGCTGGTTCTAATTGGTCTTCCTGAGTCAAAGTGTTTATCCATTCCACTTAAGGTAAAGCTCCATAGAGAGTCTATTTATAAATGTTACCAACGTGGTTAATGCTTCTGACCTTTGATGGTGAGCGAGTCTAATGGTTGTGCAACACAGGAGCAACATTTTTTTGTTACTATTCTGGATGTTCTTGTTCGGGAACAGTCTGATGGCCTCTATTTCCCTCTTTCTCTGTTTTTTAAAGTCTGCCAAATAAAAGGAATTATTTGCTCCGAGCGCAGACGGCCTGAGTTTTGCAGCAGCAAATATGGAGCAATAATCCATAGAACAGTGCACACATCAGCTTCTCAGAATCCACCCCACCAAAATGCACCAACCTTGTGCCAAGGTTTTTTCCTGTATTAGAGCCAGAACGAACATGAGGGGAGGACGAGGCACCTGCCTGTGTGTTCATGGGGTAAAGTATCTCCAGTTGTATCTTTCTCATATGAGTGATGCAATGACCTCCTGGGCTCTGACTTAGGGCAGCTGAGGGGAAATTAAGGAGGACCGACAAAAAATACTTAAATAAGGCAATTGCTTAAATTATAAAAGAGGATTGGGTCTACTTTAAAGAAATTTGAAAAATCTGTTAAATTATTTCATTATGTTTTCATTAACCCTTGTATTTCTTTTAATTCACTGCTTTAGCAGCTGCATGCTCCCACCCAGACAGTCCTAGGAAGCCACCTGTGGGGAGGCTGCCTGAGCCATAGGAGCAGCACCTCAGGACAAATGGAGATACTGTACCAGCTACATTCCTGTATAGCTGAGTTCTTTGTTCCTCAGATTTTTTTTCAGTAAACAGCAGGCTAGAAGAAGCTAATCAATGTTAAACCCCAGTTCCTAATCCAGGCATGGGATGAGGAGCAAGGGAGCACAGGGCTGGTGAACAGCAGGTATTGCAGGTGAGGGAAGCAGATGGGGCAGGATGCCAGAAAACTGAGTTCCTGGTTTCCTACTTTCCTGAATTGCTGGTTTCAGATTTTTTTTTTTTCTGTTTTAGCCGTGTAGGAATTAGATTTAAACCTTTGGTTTGCATTGCAGAAGAGGGAATCTGTGATGAAAGAAGTATTGGCAGTGTTCCTTCATCCTTTTTTGAGCTGTTGGAATGAAGCAGGCTATGCCTTCCTAATTGTAAAGTTCTCAGCAAAAAAAAAAAAAAAAAGAAAAAAGCAGGATTCCCAGCATGCATTCTGGTCTGGGAAAAGGCCAGAGACAGGAGTACCATGCCAACCCAATGTCATCACTTACTGGCAATCTGCCACAGCAGAAACTGCACGGTTGACAACTGTTTGGTGACACCAGCAGTTTGTATTTTCTTGCTGAAATGATGCTCATCTCCCGTATTGAACCTTTAGGAAAACATAACAAACCCAACCTTAATAATTTTCCATGTGAGGGGATGGGGAAAAAAAAATAAAAATTGTTTGTCTGTATAATCTTGATATCCCTCCCAGATTGCTCCTGGGATCCTGAGGAGAAGAATAAGAGAACCCCATTGTATAGATAAGAAAACCAATGTATGGATAAGGTAAGGATCACACCCCAGAGAAGCATTGAAGATGCCACTCCTGCCGAGCAATTTCTGTGTGAAATCCAGATGTGTAGTTTAAATTTTCAAGGGCCTAGGATACCATAAGCATCTTCATGCACTACTGGAGTCATGCAGCTGTCTTATCTCCCAGCTAGGGAATTCTGTCTGACGGGAATGCTCTGCTGCTCGCTGTCTCAGCGTTGGTGTTTCAGTCCAGACTGGGAATGACTTTTGAACCGATCCCTACTTGTGGTGCTTTGGTTCACGTTAGGGACTGATCACAGCACACACACACATGCACACACATGCAGTGGCCTTGGAGTGAATCTCTCCCGAAAGGTGAGGGCTGGGTGTGCATCTGATCCAGCTACTCACGGGCTCTCTGCAGACCAGAGCCAGTCCAGAGGAAAACCTCTCAAGCTGTGTGGCTTCTGTCTCTTCTGCACCAACAGTTTTGCTCTGCAAACCTACTCCTCTAGGGCTGCAATTTGCTGAGAGACCCTAAAATAGAACTGCATGGCAGCTGCAGGGATCTCCAAGCTAAAAACAAATGTTTAGAAGTGGTGGGAGACTCTTACTGTCCTGAATACCTGTGATCCTCAACCCCAAGTGTGTTCACAGCTCCCTCCCTAGAGCCACAAGGACTCCTCCCCTTGAAGAACTAGGGGTTTGAGGAGCTGAAATATGTCCTGAGTGCATAGCCAGGAGAATTATGTGATAGATAAGTGGTAAAGACACCTCCCTGAGGAGAGGCTCTGCCCTCCTCTGCCTGGAGGCAACTTGCAATGCTTCAACGCAGCAGGAGATATCAACTTCCCTGGCACTGGGAACCAAACCCAGGATTCCCCAGTACTGGCACCCACAGACCACTTCCTGAGATGCTGCTCAGGTGAAACAACTCCAATTGAAATAAATCCATAAGCAGATACCACACCAGGGCCTTGTTTCCTGGGGTCACAAACTGCACGGTTGGACTCTCCTGCATCACATCTGAAACGTGTCCCCAGGTTGGTTTTGGGGCGTGTACCCCGCCCCTTATGCACTGTGCAGGCAGTTTCAGCACCCTCTTGGGGTTTCTGAAAGAATTTGAGGAATTTGGAAGCAGCTGCCTGAAATTTAAGTGTAGTAATGCTCAGCATAACTACTCTCAGACTCACTGGTGGATCTGGGCCAATGTGATGGGTCCAGAGCCAGAGCCAAGAAAACAGGAGTGGGACTCAGTCAAAATGTGCAAAACAAATGCCTGAATTACATTCTTAGATACATAAGTCACAGACCAAGGTGGGTGCAACGGAAACACACTGCCTACCTTTCATTTGCACAGAACAATCCAAAAGGAGGGGTGTTTTTAAGAAGCCAGACTATAATTTCCTTGCTCCTGTTGTTTGTTGCCACCACACCCACGGCCTTTAATCCAGTGTTGATTTGAGTCAATAAGAGATTGTGCATGTCAGAGTGCAGATGGTGATCATTATTATTGATACCCTGCTTGCAATGTGTAGCCTCCAAGGACACTTCTGTCCAATGACTTAACCTTCTTCAGTTGTGAATTACATTCTAGGAATTTAATTCATCTGCAAGGCTGCATACACACAGAGTGACAAACTCCACATCCCCCAGCACTGGGACTGAGAGAGCAATGAGGGTGATGTGTTAATGTATTGTCCCTTGGAGGACTTCCTGAACAAAGAAAAAGAAAAAAAAAAAAGAAGATAATAGAATCACAGAAAAAGGAGTAGTTGACAATATTCCTTCACAGTCCTAGCCAGACAACATCTGTTCAAATTAGATTTTGTGAATTTGATACTATCTGAACAGCAGGTCTGGTCCATAAGCCACCAGTAATTCTTTTCTCTTCCTTCTCCCTTTTCTAATGAAATAATCACGTCTAAAACAGATTCCTTGGAAAGAAACATGTGCAAATGGCTCTTTTTATGCCAAATAGAGCTTTATTAACATCAGTAAAATCAACAGGGGTATAAGGGATTGCTCATTAAAAGGTGAAATCTCTACATTCTGCCCTTCCAAGAACTGAAGTATTTTAAAGACAAACATATTTCTGATTTATCTTTTCTCCCTGGTGACAAGCTGCTATTGGACACCTTATTTAATAGCTTCACAGGAGCTCCCTGCAAAGAAGAGTGAGACAATTTATCTCATCTGAAAATGGATTTTCTCTGAGTGGGAAAATCCTTGGCATAAGGATTATCATTCTGAAACAAGCTTAAACTGTCATATCCATCCAAACAGGTTTGGTTTGGGGTTTTTTGGCCAGAATGCTTAGAAATAGAATGGGAAGGGATACTCTACAATTTAAGCCTCCCTGAGAACTGTAGTGTTTCTTCTTTTTTTCTTACTAAAGAATGGAAATTTAAAGCCAGAAGAGAATCTGTATATTTAATTTGACTACTAAAATTAAAAAAATGCAACTTTCAATGTCCTGTGTAGAAGACTTCCTGCAGGAAGAAAACCCTATAAAATCTTATGCATGAGTATTTGAATCAGAAATGCTGGCACATTTATCTAACCACTGTATAATGCACTGTGTTCACAGTCATGCAAGAATAAAAGAACAGTTACACCAGGGCAGATCAAAGATCCACCCCCTCAGCATGCAGTTTCTGAGAGCATCAAGTAGGGGGTATCTGCAGATAACACACAGAGTAACACTTCTCCTGTATTGTCTTTGGAAAATCAGCAAATCAAGGGCAATTAAAATCATTCATGAACTTCATCAGATGCTTCTAATGAAATTAAATTAAGCCATGACCTGGCTGTTTGCATGCCAGGAGCAGAAAAATAAGGGCCAAAATTAGTCATTGCTGGTCCATTTGGTCACATCTAAAACTATTTCAATGGGTGAAATCATTTACAGGTTTTTTTCTTTAGCTAATAATTACACTTCACACGCAGTAAATTATTTGCTTAATGTTCAGCTACAAGTTAGAAAGCTTCTGGGACATCTGTAATCTTAGATCAACTTTTAAAGGCAAGGATAGTTTCTTTTAACAGGTTTGAGAGGAATTATTTTCCCTTCTGGGCTAATCCAAACAGCAAATCAATACCACAGAGTTGTGTTATGCCTCCTTTTGCTGCAGAACAGCAAGCTGTTGATGATTTGTTTTTAGTAAATGACTTATTATGTTACTAGAGAAGTCGTGTATTGTCTGTCTCTGGAATCACTATGCCTTTAGGATTTTTCTCCTTTACTGCAGTACAGTGGCTGTTGAAGCTAGTGATTAGAAGAAAGTTTGTTTTGTGGAAAAAATTCTGAAAATTTACACATGATTTCATATATATGGCATCTTGGTCATGTTAGGATCAAAAATAGTCCCCCACAGCTACTGATGAGAGTTCTCAGCCTTTTTAATGCTATTCAGTTATTCATTTTTTATGCTAAGCAAGGAATGTCATATAACAATAAAAATTAAGCTGCTTACAGGAAATGTGCAATAATCCATCCTCAGTCAAGAGAGCTCATGAAAATTGGGATTCATCAAATTCTGCTGATATAGGAGGCTAACTGCATGCAGAACACATTTATGTAACGTTCTGGCAACAGACAAATATACAGCCTTTCTTTTAATTAGAAAATCTGTCTCTCCCTGTTTCATTCTGTGAGGCATAAACCTGAATAAAATGTAGCTGCATGCTGCATGTGCTGACTTATAAGTTCATTAAACAGATGTACGTAGAAAGACCATTTTGGTTGGCAATAAAGACCCCTGTGCTGAAACCCACTCAAACTGGGGATCCCCAACCAGGCACATGCTGAGAAGGACAAAGCAATCTGACCTCTTGTTCTGCTGGTCACTGTACAAACAATGCCCCAGAAAAAGAGGCGTGTTCTTTAAGGGGATTTCAGACCTGTGGGCGTAAAGTCAAGGATGTGGCAACAGCAAGCACAACGACAGCACTGCAGGTGAAAAGCTGGAGAGGGAGTGGCAGAGCCATCCTTTGGAAACACAGAGTGAAGGGGAAGGTTTCCCTGCGACCACCACCTGTGTTGGGAGTCGGTGATGAAAGGGGAAGCAGCAGCTGGATTGACCCCAGAGCCAAAAAATGAAGCGCAGGGTCTGTGCAAAAACATTTGGCTGTTTAAGCTGCGACTGCTGAGGGGGCACAAAGTGGCTGCCCCTCCACTTGTGCCCACTGCACTGCTGCAGCTGGCTGGCAGGAAGAAACAGGGGAGCTGGACTGAGGTGGCTCTTAGGGTCTGGCTGTTCTCTCCCTTTTCCTGCTTGTCTGCATTTAACTATCCTCCCCTCCCTTCCCTGCCAGTTTTATTTCTTGGCTCTCTCCTTAATACATCAAGATTATTTTCCATTCAGCTGCACTGAAAAGGTAGGATATTTATAATGCTCAGGCTCAGGTGGGGATGAAAGAGTAAATGAAGCTGGAGGCCGTCTGCACAACAACCTGAGGGTTTCTATTATAGATCTTATTGTTAGGAACAATGTGGAGAAACTCTTTTTGCCCTTAATGAAAAGGAAAAAACTAAAAAAAAAAAAGAAAATAAGTTGGAGGTATATTACACTTTAAATTTGAAGCAAGTAGACTAGGAAAAAAAGGACCATTTAAGCAAATGATAAAGAACAAACAAAAATGGGGTTTGTTGTTCTGTCATCCATGGCAAATCAAGCCCCACTCTTTCTTATGCATAAAGACCCTAGGAAAAAAGACACTTATTAAAAGATAAGTTATTGTACAAAAAGAATTGACCAAATTACCATCAGAGCACAAGCAGAGACTACAGTGGCAAGTTGGGCTGGGCCAGAGCTGGTCACCAGGGTTGGTCATGGCCATCCCTGGCCCAGA